CAGCTGTTCCAAAGTGTGCATAGCACACACCTGGCAGGAAAAGGTTCACATTCTGCTCCTTGCATGCCCATAGACAGTACATGAAAAGAAAGTGCCCCAGCACCATACACAAGCCTGTAGCTGCGAAGAGAAATTTTCAGCTACCGTTCATCCATGATGTGGTTTTCCTCGCCATGATACTGAATGTGTTCTTTGCTACAGTAGAGATAGTTTGCTTTCAGATGGTAGTGCTGCTGTATCTTCAGTCTTCCCTAATTATATTCTATAAAGTGAGTTATTTGCAAGAAATTTCCATAACCTCCCCTTCTTCCCCCTCTCCTCCTACATTTACTTCAGCCTCTCAGCTGCTATATCATTTGGCCACAAAGGCACCAGTTTGCTAATCTAGTTTCATGGTCTGATAGACCTGGACAGTGATCAGTTTGCTTCCAAGGCCTTTCTGCAAGAGGGAAAAGAGCTTTGATCCTTATTGACAACTCAAGCTAATAGGATTGTTCTTCTTATGCCTCAACCAGATTGTCACAGTATCCTCATGTGATAGTCTGCAGTAAATCCTATTCCCAGAAATTTAAGCTGCTGGCCTCTGGGTCCAAAGCCATTAACTTTGTGATGATTAATGGGCTGACAATACAGTTCCCTTCCACGTAAAATTCAAAACAAAAACAGGTTGGCAGACATAGCCTCTCACCAAGACTAGTGGACCCTTTGTGTAAATACCACGCACCTCTTAGCCTGAGCTATGAGGTAATGGAATATTTGAAAGACCTGCTGCAAAGAGATGAATTTGGGACATCTTATCTAAATGTCGGGAAGAGGATTTAGTGATATCCCTTAATCCACAAGGCATGAGATGAGAGGGTACCAAGGGAACAGTGCATGGAGGAAGACAACGATTTGGAACCATTCCATTGCAAACTTGTGTGCAAACCTCCCCATCTCCTCTCATTTGTGCTTCTTTCACTCCATGCTCTACTCACAAGGAAGGCAGCTGCACGCTGAATTGCAAGGTGCTCTGGAGCCTGTGTGTCCTGCCATTGCTTGGCAGGACTGCAATGCTCAAAGTCACTGAGCTGTCCAAAACAAATATTATTGGATGGGGCTCGATGGAGATGGGCTGGGAGGGAACATACTATGCAAGAGACCGTCAATGTTCATTTTATTTTATAATCAGGATATATAAAAAGGCACCTGCCTTTAGCCCTAGACATCTTTGGTATAAATTACACAACATCAACATAAATATGAAGAAAATGACCATGAAAAATGGTCAGCAAATGAAGAAAATGACAGCAGCTGTTCTGCACCCCAAAGCCAGAAAATAATAGGCAAGGACAGAGCCAAAATGTAGCCATGCATTTTGGGCATCCCTCATTGTTTGGCATCCACCTCGCTAAAGCTGTTTCTGTACTCAAGAAAGCAGGTCCTGGGTGACCCAGAGATTCTGGGGAGAGCTGGCAGCCTTGCAAACACCACCTCAAGCTATAGAGAGCAGAAGACGAGCACTGAGACACAGCCCCATCTGCTTATTCAATAACCAGTATGCTGCATTATCTCTGATTTTGTAAGTCTTTGGGTTTGTTAAAGGCTCAGGCTTGCACAGGGCATGCCATTGTTAACACAGAGGGGATGAAGCCCTTCAGGCAGGTAGCAGGGTTCACACCAGAAAGACACGGTTGCATGTGTCCCATCTACAAAAGACTGCAAAATTAGTAGCTGACACAAGAGAAGCCTAACTGATCCTGGGTAGGATGTCAGGGTCTTCCAAACCACTTGTGGTTTATTAAAGCAGGGTCTACACTGGAACAAAAGCACCTCGATGTCAAAATGCCTTCAGGTAAAGCCATGAAACCGGCCTCATCCTCAGCAGCCTCACCTCTGCACTGAGGCCTGCCACGAGAAGAGGCCTGGGGTGACACGCAGTGATGGGGGGGCTGGGGAGCGCTGGGTGGGCATCTCAGCCCCTCAGGAAGAGGTGGCACCCCAAACCCAAACGAGAGCTTTGGCTACAGCACGTCCCTGTTCTGCTGCCTTCAAAGGTTGGCCTTCCTGAGACACACAAAGGAAAATGTATTTTCATGTCAGCCCGTTCTTCTAAACATTCAATTACCCTGTCAAACACCAAACACCTCTTCTTTATGGGAAATTCCTCTGGCAGGCTCCACCTCTTCCTCCTGCCAACTGCTCCTTGCTTTGTCCTTTTAAAGTGGGGCTAGAGGCAACAGCTTATGCCCTTACATGTTAGCAAAGGCAATTATGACCACCTCCTGTGAGCAATTACCCATTCCTATCCATTTCCTACGAAAACCTAAATTTTATACAATTACAGGCTACCCGGTAACCCTGACGCTGCTGGGATGCACAGCAGAGCACTCAGCGTTTCAGGCAGGTAAGTGCTGTATATATGACTTCATGTTGTCTGTCTGACCAGAAATGCCATTGGCAACAGCCTGGGCATATCCCCATGAGATTAGCGACCCTGAAACACTTCTGGAAATGTCTAGCTAGCCCTTACCCAAGAGGGAAAGACTGAATCTGGGCACCAAGTTCCAACAAGTGGCTGATCTGAGGTGCTGGAGACATAACAGGTTTCTTGCTCTTGGTATAACACTGTGCGATGCCTCCCATAAAATGGCAATCGCATTTATTAGAGATACCAGATCTGATTCTGATCTCAGCCTACTGTGACTTATTACTTATATCTGCCTGTAGTGAACACTAAATGTTCCCTCCTCTGAAAACGAATGCCTCCCGCCAGCTCCTGTGTAGGCTGCAACTACCCAAGGACACAGCCCATGGGCTCAGTTGAATTTATACATGGTTTTTACTGAGGAGATTTTAAAGTGAAAGGTCTGAATGCTGAGCCCAAGTCCCTGGTGTAACACAGGGATAATTTCACTGAAGTCAAGGCATGACATAGAAGGGAAGCAAATTTAAAATCATAATTAAACTATACATCAAAATGGCACTCATCCATGACGGAGCAACAGCAACTCAAATTACTAGTGAGCTGCAGCGGTGCCCCGTTCGTTCCTCGCATCTGCCATCTGCATCAGGTCTTTGTGACTAAATAAACCCTGCGAAGGACAAAGATTGTGGCACTCATACAAACGTCCCTTTGGTATCAAGGGTTGTGTACATGTCAGGAAACAAACTAATGGCTCTGTGGAGGGAACATTTTCTGGGGGCTGACAAAGCAAGCTGCTCTGTGAGCAGCAGTGCTGACAAAATGCAGTCTCCCACAGACCGATGCCTTGTGGCCACACTTTTTCACTGCAGTAACCTCTGGGCTGCTCAGCAGGCAGAGCTGAACAGATAATGCCGAAATCATGCTGCAGCTTTGCACCAGTTTTGAGCATACCATGTAACTAGTGCCTGCTGAATAACCATCAGCTTCCATGAGATTCACCTTATTGATCCCCATGATCACCCATGTCAAATTTTGACTGTATTAGTTAACCGGCTCAAAGATTTGGGGGGTGAGAGGGGTGTGTTTGAGAGACAAACACATGGAGAGAAATGCAGTCACATAAATCTTGCTTTGTTAGGAAAAGAGGAGAAAAACAACAAAAACAAGAAAAACAAAGCTGTGTATTTAGCTGTTATAGCCCAAAGTCTGAGGACATACATTGTCAGAGGGTGTGACCCCATAGGATTAGTTATGTGCATGATGGAAATCTCTGTCAGAACATTAAAAGGATTAGAAATTGGCCCATATTTTCTTTTTGGCTCCGGAGATCTAAACTCTCCAAGTTTTGACCAGATATGTAAACACAAAGCTATAAATTTACAGTTATACATTGCCTCCCATTCCCAGAAGATTCCCCAATACTTTAGCAAAAGACAGCCTCCCAAACAACTCAGCCAGCCACCAAGGGCCATGCTGGGGCCATGATTCCTCCCCATGCCCTGCTGGCCCTCGCTTTCCTTTACGAGCTTTTGTTGGTGACCACCACATTTGTTGTGCTGCTGTCCTTGGAAGAGCGTCGAGCTGCAGGAGCCCCCCCGAATTCCAAGGGTTACAATGACAGCGCGCCGCCCCAGCGCTGCTTTCCTTTCCACGATCTGTGTTTGCCAGCTGTTAATTTCATCAAGATCCTGCATTGTGAGGGAGTCTGAAAAAAAAAAACAACAGGGCAGATCTGTTTTCTCCATAGCCTCTGCGGGAAGGCTGTCAGGCCAGATCCGACCCTGAAAACACGAGAATTCAGGCAGGACAGAGAATAATTCAGACGTAATTTTGTAAGAGCGCTCCCAGCTCAGGAGCAATTCTCAGCAAGCTCCGCTCCTTCAACATCACCCTTGCTGATACATGCAGGGAGCAGAAATCACATCCTCTTTTCTGAAATAACCACAGCTCAGCCTAAATATCAGCTGCTCTGGGAAAGCTGTGTCAGGCGCGAGGTCGCGGGGCTGCCGAGATGATCGCGGCTCAGCGGGACATCCCCGCGCCCCGCTGGTGGGGTGACTCAGCCCACAGCTGTCCCTCCCACCCTGGCGCACGAGTGATAGCTTTGACCTTTTGCTCGTGGAAGAAATGACAGGGAAGGAAGGTTCTCCACAGCTTTGGGACAAAGTGCAGTGTCGCTTTACCGGGGGATGGCAGAGCTCTGGAACAATTTGAGGGAGAAGTGAGGAAGGACTTGTGCTCCAACTGGGAGGGCAGGTGGCATTTTGAAAAGGCAGGGGAGGATTAAGCAAGCTAGAAGAGGGACAGGATGAGAGCATGGTGAGAGCTTTCATGTCCCCAGCACCCTAGCACACTTTCCATGAGGCAAATCTGAAGGCTGGGGCGTCCTTCCTATGCCCCCTTCCCGGAGCACCGCCTCCCTAGGGAGCAACCCACCTAGGGAAATCCCCAGCGCTCCGCACCCCACTGCTGTTTCTTGGGGCTCTCCTGCCTCGCCATGCCCTGACACTGACTGTGCTTTGTTCAGGGAGAGCTGAACAGCTGCAAATATCCCACAAGTGGGATATTCAGGCTGGAGGCAGGTTCTCAGAAGGTCTATGGTCTCCTTGGCGGTGCTGGTACAACTCCTGACGACTGTCTGCAAGAGCGGTTAGGGCAAGGCTGAGCACTTCTGAAAACCCTGCCCCAAAGCAGTGAAAGGATCATTTGAACAGAGCCATTTAATTAATAAAGCCAGCATCATTTAATTATAGCTAATCCTCTTACTGAGAAGGCAGCCATCACACAGCAGTTCCTCAGAGCTGCCAGGGTCCCTGAGCTACCACTACTATGCACCTTTCCAGTGCGGGGGATCCACAGTTATTAATCCCAGATCTGTGCCCCGCCAGCTGTCCAGGATTTGATGTGGATCATATGTGAGCCCACAATGGTCTTTTTGTTGAATTAACCCGAGGACACATCCTGTGCTTGTGTCTAGGTGCACCACAGGGTGGTATCAAGGGTTGATTACACAGCATCCTGCCTCCCACTCCACTTCCCAAGGGTTTCTGTGTGGGATGTCTGTAGGCAGTTCCCCAAGGAGAGCATCCTTTTGTTTTCCACCATCTGCAACCACTCCAGAAAGAGAATCAGCAAAAGTACTGTGTGGCACCAGGCTGCCATCTGCACCTTGGCAAAGCAAGGATGCATGTCTCTATTTTGGCATCTCCACTTTCTGGAGGGCTTTTGCCAGGCAGTAGTCCTATAAGAGGCAATGGAGATGTCTGCAAAGGGAATGAGCACCACAGTTTCTCAATCATCAGTGGCCACACACGGAGACAAGAGTCCAAATGGAATGAGGGGAAGCAGGTATGTCAGGTTACGTGGCTCGCTGCCCTTTTTTCTGGCGTAGGAGTAGAGCTGTAAGGTTCATGGAACATCCCTGTGTCTGTGAGAGCAACAGGGTTGTGGCAGGGGGTGAAACTCTCATCTCTAAAGTGTCTTGTCTCACCCTTTCTCACTGTCTGGTCCAGTAAGGCCCAGGATACAGTTTTCCACAAATCATGCCTGACCAAAACTGTGCAAAGAAGATAGTATGTCTTTGGTTCTCAGTCTGTGTCAGCGGCACTGCCATCTCCAGCTCCAACGGAGGTAGCAGGGACCACCAAGAGGGAGAGGAGACCTGATGCACAGCTCCAACACCTTCCCTGAAAGGACAGATAGAGAAACTCTGTTCTCACAAAAGCAGATTTGTGGAATAAGCACACTGATTCCCAAATACCTTTGGGCTAAGTGGGAACAGAACTTACCTCTGCAGAATAAGGCCTCATCCCCTGTATAAGTACATATCTATCCTCAAGGAGCTGGCTTTTTATTACTTATCTGGACAACAGTAAGCTTTTACCAGCCTTTACTTTGCTGGGCTGTTTCAGACAATGCCTAATGACGCAAATTTTACTCCCAAAACCACAACTGCTTCTCCCACCTAATTCAGCCAGAGTCACACAAAGATATCTGAGGGAAAAAACTAGAAAAATAACAATATTAATAAAGTATTCATCCTTCCTCTTCTATTCTTCCTCCTTATTCTTACCTATCCTCTAGTCACACAGCAGTAGGCAAAGCATCCCATCCCCTCATGGACAGTCTGCTATTTTTATACCAATGTTACTCAGCTGGTTTTGATCCTTGGGTTCCCCTTCACCTTGCCCCAGGTGCCTGGGCACAGAGGGCCTGTGGTGTCTCCCCAGGGAAATGGGCAGCCTTTCACTGCCAGCCCCATATCATGGGTTTGGAGCCAGGCTGCTGGACGAGACTCAGCTGGTGCAACCGCAACAAGTCAGCAGCTGGTGCTAGCTAAAGGTAAGCTTCATGGCTGCTCCAGGAACAACAACTGATTTTCAGCAGCAGCCCAGCCTGTGGTCACACCTCGCAGTGACAGTGCTAGGCTGAAACTCCAACAACACAGGAAATGAAAAAGCAGCTCTAAAAATAGCAGGTTGCAGAGACACCTGCTAGGGAGAGTTAAGATCGGAGCTGCAGCCCTCCGGCTCTGGATTCCCGTGGGTTTTGTCATTCCCACCTCCTGCCCAAATGCTACTGCACACTGCTGCCCTGCTCTTCTGCTGCCCTGGAAGGGCAGGGCTTGGATCCTGGCAGCACAAGCGAGAGGGATACAGGGAAGAGCTGTGTGGGATGGGCAGCCTGCACAGCCTCCGCCTCCTCACAGGGAGCAGAAACCAAAGGGCAGAGGAGGAAAGGAAGGCTAGGAGGAAATAGCGAGGCATCAGATAGCACTCACTGGGTCTCTGCTTGGTAGGGATTACCCTGCCCCTGCTCCTAAGCCCTCAGTTCCTGGGGAAGGATAGAAATAAGGGGGCTAGAGGAAGTACAGCTGAACTGGTGGGAGCAAAATTTACACCACCTACCACAGGCTCCTGTGCCCCATGTGGCTCTGCAGAGCTCCCAGCAGGTGGGAAATCTGGGCCTCAGCACCTGGCCCAACACATTCCCAAAAGATGTGCATGCAGTGATGGTGTAAATAACCTGCTCAGGATCCCACATGCAACGTTCGGGGTGAGCTGGACTGAAAAGCCCTGGCAGTGCCCCCTTGGTGCAGCCCATCCCTCTCCCCTGACCAGAAGGGCTGAGGTTTCCTGTTCCATCCTCCAGGCAGTGGGAAGGAGGCAGATCTCCATCATCCTGTGCTTCTTGGCCTCTTAATGAATAAGGGAAGGAGCTAAAGGTGCAAGGAAGTGCTTACTTGCAGCCCTTATGTTGGAGTTCTGTAGGATCATTGCTAAAGCCAGGAGTAGTTCCTTCTGCTGGAAATTACTGGGTGAGACACTGTGGTTTTGCATTACACCAAGGGTCATGCCAGACAACAAAGCTGGAGTTAGAAGGGGACAGGGACAAGCTCAGTCCTCCACAACCACAGGCAGCAGTTCAGACAAGTCTCTGGAGCATCCACCCTCCCGTCCATGGCCACAAAATGCTCCCCAGGGCCCAGTAATGAGCTCAAAACCAATAGCAGAGAACAAAACCTACAGCTCTCGAGTACCACAGGAAGAGATCAGTGGCAATCACAGACATCCCCAGTGTCCTCAGTCCCTGCTGTAAAACTCCCAGATAACCCTTGGAAATTGGCCAGGCCTCACATTACAAAGGGAACAGGAAAAAAATCCAGCATCCAGGGGAACCTCCCCATCTGGCATAAAGGGACAATTGCAGAGGTCAGCGTGACCCCGGGAGCACGAACAATATACAGAGAACAGGACAACGCAGAGGCTGACCCACCACTGAGACAGCCTTCTCCTTAGCTTCAGCCACTTCACAGAGTTTCTGTTGGTAGGGGAAAGAGATCTGGAAGCCAAATTTTGCTACAAGTTGGGGAAAAAAGTCTTTCCTGTATTTCTCATTGCCTCCTATTCCGGCCTTAGGATGAATCAGACTCTGAGGGAGGCCGGTTTGTTTTGCCAAGGAACTGGGGGGCTTTGCAGCTCCCTTTATTCTTATGAAAAGATAACGACCTTTTGGTGGGAAGATCCAAGCCTTGCCAAGAAATATGTTTTGGCAGCTTTCCAGGAGCAATGACAGTCAGAGGCAAACCGGCTTCCCTAGAGAATAAAAGGGGCCGTGGAGCTATGTAATCCTGCCTTCAGCTTAGGCTTGGCAAATTCTTCAGATCCACGAGGCTGTGTCGTAAGCAAGGCTGCTCGCTACCCGCTTGACCCTGGAGGAGAAATTAGCAGCACGGGCACCACAGCCCCCAGGCATGCAGAGGGCATGTCCAAACCGCAGTGCAAAGGCACCACTGCGTTTTGTGTGCACATTCCCAGCTGGACTGAAATTAGGTGGCTCAGACACTCCCATCCCTGGCAGCACGGGCTCCAAGCCAGCTGCAAAACCCGTGCAGAAACTCATCGGTATCACTGAGATCCATATTGGTGGGAATAACTTGTTGTCCATACATAACCTCCACGTGTGTGCGGGACCTGTGGTGGTACCTTTGTGCTGTAGCACAGGCAAGATTCAGCACAGCCCACTGGTCCCGTGCATGGCCCCACGGTCATCCTGGCCTGGCAGAGCTCACAGGGTGCTGCTGCTCCTTGCCATCTTCAGGAGGTCCTGCTCAGAGCTCTGCTTGGCCAGTCTGTCTCTGGATGCACGTGTTGCTCAGAGATTCCTATATGGATATCCCAAAGGGACCATGAACTCATATATATATATATATATATATATATATATATATATATAGGAGGCATCTGTTTCCCCATCAGCACTCAGGTCTGACAGTTTCCGAAGTGCAGCTGAGAGCACAGGCCGTAGCAGCGGACAATGCTTCTCTCACAGACCGTGACCTGGGCCATTTCCTGGAGGAGCACGTGGCTCGGCACGCTTCTGCTTCCAGGGATCCCCAGAGATCCTGGAGAGCTGCTGGAAGTGTCAGTCATTCCCCAATATCCAGCCTCCAGCGTTTGCTGCAGGAAGAGAAGTTACTTTGCTCAGCACGGCAGCTCCTCAGGCATCTTTGCCCAGCAATTTCACACGGAGGGACAGGAATGGGGCAGTTCCTGCCCTGCTTACGCCCAGTCTTCAGCCGAAGAACAAAGGTCAAGCAAATAATACCGTGTTACTGCCGTGAGTGACACACAGGCAACAGGATAGGTGTAAGGATGGTATCCTGAGAGGTCTGGGTAGCCTCTGCTCCTCACCAATCGCCTTCACTCACAGCCTGTTTTGAAAGCTTTACGAGCCCTCAGCAGCCACAGATCAGTTACCTAAACTCTGTTTTCCGAACTTTTCTTGTTATCTTTGGACAGCTGGGTCTGTGAAATTGCCTATCAGCAGTTTGCAGGGAGATTTGGCTAATCTCTGAAGAGTGTGTGTGAATCTAGCGGCCGGATCTAATGGCCTGACAGATCAATACAGCACATTCCAGCTCTGCGGAGTCTAGACTGCCCGGGGAGGGATGGTGGAGTTTTTATAGCAAAGTTACCAAAAAGTTATGCACGTGTTTGTGCAGAGGGAAGGCAGAAAGGCAGAGACGGTGATATATTCAGCCAGAAAATGTTTTGAAGAACCCAGGGAGGTTTTATTGTTGATCAGAACAACCTTGCCAGCCTGTTCTGAACACTTCTGCTCTCTAATTTCAGTGGAGCTGTACTTCCACGGAGCTTTGAGGCAGGGTGGGTATATGAGGCTAGATGCGTGTACACATAGGCCAGTGTTGTGAGCACATGTGTCTGTGGGGAGCACATGCCTCTCAGGTGAAGAAGAGAGCCCCTACGCCATCTCCTGTCACACCCTCTGTCCCTCTGCGGCCTGCCCCAGCAGCGGGGCTCCTGCAGGGCTCAGGCCCAGTCTCTGCAGACAAGCTGGGCTCAGGGCCCAGCCCCAGCTGCCGTCAGGGCAGGCCAGTGCAGCGGTGCTAACGTGCAGCAGCTGAGAATGCGTGCCATGAACACTATAAAAAGACGGCTCCTCAGGCTCAGCTGTGCTGGGGCCTCCTAACCAGAGGTGTTCCTTAGCGTGCTGCTAGGAGGTGCTGCTGTGGCCTCTCTGCTGGGTTTAGTCTCCCTGTGCTGTGTCCCAGCCCCAGCATGAATCGTGGGCTCTCTCTGCTGCCACAGAGCCCTACAGCCTCTTTCTTCCCCCCACCAGTCACTCAGCACGCACCAAGCAGCGGGGATGAAAGAGGCTTCAGGAAACAGCCTGCTGAGATGTGAGGCCTCCCAGGCCTCCAATCAACCCCCCTGAAGGGGAAAAGCCTAGGGCGAAAGACCAAATTCTAATTATAACAACAGATCTGCAGTCATTCCTGATTACGTCAAGCTCTTCAACAAGGAATTAAACAAGTTATAAAACGGGTGCGCTGTCTTGCTCTCCCCTATAGCAGTAACAGTGTGATGTTGTATAAACATGGCCAAATCTAAACAAGATGTGAAGGGAACTTTAAAGTGGCATGTGAATGACAGAGGAAAACAACATCCGTGTGGTAGATACAGCCTTTCTTGCTCTGCAGGCCTGATTTACTGCTGGATTACATTAGTTTTAGGCTACAGTAACACCTCTGATTGCAGCGAGGACAATTCTTAAATGAAGCCAACTAAAAGCTAACAAAATCTGACTGCCGGAAGCTGTGAAGCTGTGATGATTACAACAAAGTAAAAGGAAATTTTCCACCTTAAGAACAAGGATAACCACTGAGCACCTCACCAGCAAGCATCGTGGGTCAGTCACTCTGTACCTTTGGGACAAGGCTGAGCGATTCTCCAAGGCACAGAACCTGTGACTGTGCTTCAGATATGAGATAGTGATTTCCATACTCAGAATCAAAATTGCAGGGAACATATTAACATCACAGCTAAATAATAATAAAATCACACTAGTCCCTTCCAGGCTGAGGATTTATGAATCTTGTTAATAACTGGTAGCATAGAGGTGAGATGGGGCAAGTCATAATGGCATGAGCACAGTCTGAGCCCTGCTGTCTCAACAGCAGCTCCACCAGAAGCCTTTGCTGGCACCTCCACATCTGCACATCCTGGTGTGCAGCTCTGCTGTGTGGCTGCACAGAGGTGATACTTCCCTCCCTGCCGCCTGATTCCTTCCTTCACTGCCTTTTCCATCTCTGCAAAGTGGGTGGCATTTTATGTTTACTTTGCCTTCCCCTCAGTCAGGTGGAGATGGCTGTAAGAGGTGTAAAACAGAGTGGGGCTGGGGGCAAGGATATGAAAAACAGCCTGTGAGAGAGATATTTCTCTTCACAAAATCTGC